CTCTGCCATCTTTACTTGAACCTGTACATGATTTATTATAAGGAGTTTGCTCACACAGTTGTGGAGGCTGAAAACTCCCAAGGTCTGTAGTCAGTGAGCTGGAGACCTGAAACTAGTCCTGGTTTCAATCTGTGTCTGAAGGTCAAAAAGAACCAATGTCCTAGCTCCACAGTCAGGCAGGAAGAATTGTCTTCCCTCTTACTCAGCCTTTTTGTTCTATTCAGACCTTCAATTGCCTGAATCAGGCCCACCCTTGTGAGGGAGGGAGGGCCAGTATGATTCAAACATTAATTTCATCTAAAACATAGAGCATTAATTATCACAGAAGTTATATATTTTAAATCCTCACCCAAGGACATTTTTTTCATTGCTTTTAGAAAGAGAGGAAGGGACAGAGGAAAGTGGAGAGAGGAAAACATCAGTGTGAGAGAGAAGCATCAATTTGTTGTCTCCTGTAGGTGCCCAGACCTGGAATCACATGCATCTAGACCCAGGATCAAACCTGCAAGCCAGGTATCTGCCCTGATCAGGAATCAAACCTGCAAACTTTTAGTTCTGGGATGACTCTCCAACCAAATGAACCACACCAGCCAGGGCAATTCTCATAGCAGTTTAATGCCAGTTGCTGATAGATGCTGCTTTGGCCACAGGTCATGTACACTTACCAATGTCATCCTCTTGTCCCAGTGTTCTCAACACCCTGGTGTATCCAGAGGCCTGGACTAGACAGCTGCTGTATAAGAGCTAGACTCACAAAACATCAGAGGTGTTACAGTGAGGAAAGTGAGGCCTACAGTCACACAGGGACTTGTCTAAGGCCACGTGTCTTTTACATATGTGGCAGAGTCAGGGCTACACCCAGGACTTGAATATCATACTGCCCTGGTATTTGCACTTCAGGAGAGCAGAGGGCCAGGGAGAAAATTGTAGTCCTCATGAATTTCAGAAAAGCTCACCATTATAGTAATCTTTTTAACTTGCTCTATCCATGCTTTCTCTCTCACCTGCTCATTCCTGACTGTACATTGTATTCTCTGTTAATTTCCTGGCTCCATAAATACTCTCTGACAATTTTACATATCTCTTCCTACAAGTGTAGCTCTGGTGTTGTGTCAAGTTATGTGGAACAAAATTAATTAGTTAATGTTCGTGAAAGCTTTCTGAAAACAAAAAGCGTAGGCCTTATACCACTGCAAGAAATATTTCTTCGTGCCCCTTTATTAAGCCCAAAGTCTGTGAAACCTCTGGTCTCTGGGCAGAGGGCATTGACAGCCCCTGGCCAGACCTGGGGGAGAACAGGGTTGCCCAGAGCCCTCTTTGAGTTTTTCCAGTTTACTCTATCATGGTTCTTGCTTTTGGGTTGTTTCCTATCTTATTAATCCTTTGTTTTCATGAACTCTATGTCCAGGCTACCCCATGATGTCAATGTTTAGTAACTTTGGAGATCCACCCCTTTTTCCATACTGTGACCATCTAGTTTTGCTTGATGGGTCCTTACATGTAAACCGACAGAATGTATTACAGATGGACAAGACTGAGTTGGGACCAGGAGTGCAGTTAAATCTCACTATTCTTTTTTTAAATATATTTTTATTTTATTGATTATGCCATTACATTTGTTCTATTTCCCCCCTTCATTCCCCTCCACCCTGCACACCCCTCCCCCACCATTCCCCCCCTTTAGTTCATGACCACGTACCTCAAGTTCTTTAGATTCTATATTTCCCATGCTATTCTTGCCCCTCCATCTATTTTCTATCTACTGTCTGTGCTACTTATTTTCTGTACCTTCTCCCCCCTTCTTCTCCCACTCCCTTGTTGCTAACAGTCCTCCACGAAATCTCACTATTCTTAATGTCCATTTGTACTAAGAAATCTGGGTAACTAGAGGTTGAATATTTTTGGTTCCATTCACTTGGATAACAAGCATGTAAAGCTTTAGATTATGTGTATTAGGACTTTTGCAGTTTTTCTTGTGTGTTTCTCTTGAACTCTTTGAAGGTGCTGTTTTGCATTTCTGCAGGTATAAGTCTTACCTCAGAGTATTACATAAAGTACATGTTACCTCTTCCTTTCCCCTCCCCCCAAAGCTCCATCCTTCCTTAGCTCTTTCAGTTCAAAGCAGATACTGACTGCCCCACAGCTTATAAAGCCCAAGCCTATTAAGAACAGAAAGCACAGACCCCACACTGCCCCCTAACACACCTGTCCTGGTGGGAGAAGTGATACTAGGCATCACCAGGTGGGACTATATATAGAAAAGGCAGGATGGAAAAGACTAAAGCATTCTGGAACTTTGGAGCTGGCAAACCTGGGGACACTGCTTCCTAGCTGAGGGCCTGGCCTGGCACCTGTTACAGATTTTGAGTAAAGGTCAGTTTCCAGCAGTGAGAAAAAGACTCTGAGGGCTTGTGGAGAGCTACAGAGCAATAGTTACTGCCCCAGGAATGAGAGATGCTGAGTAGTGAGAGGACAAGATGAGGACCATGAGTCGGCACTGCAGCCCGGTGTTCTAACCCCATGTGCACACACCTCCCAGCTGGTGTTCTGGTGAACCCAAGGCTGTGGCCCTCTGCAACCCCGCTAAAGATCAAGGCCTGTGCCTTCACATGGACAAGGTCCCCCATCTGCCTCCTCTTGAAGGGGAGGCTGGAGTGAGCCACCTCTGTGATGGTACCCCAGCTGTGCTCCTGGCCTCGGGTGCTGATGGCAGCAGTCCTTAGAACCAGGGAGGCTGATCCTATTTTGAATCACTCAAAGAATCTTTGCAGGGATGGAACTAGAAGTCTGATTTAAAACCTCTTAATGCTGCCTTTGAAAGAGCACAGCTTTCAAAGGAGGGCAGTTCTATTTGAAAGAGGTATTTGAAACACAGTCTTTCAAGGCCTGAGACAGTCAAAAATAGATGGAGACCAAACTTCCTTAGCCTGTTCAAGCCTCAGGACATTCTTTAAGAAAAAAAAAATTCCCAAGCTGAAAACTGGGGCCTCATCCTCTGCTCCTGGGACAGTAGCCATGCCCCTCCTCCTCTGAACTCCACTTTCCCTTCCTTCCCCCAAGCCGCTGGTTCTAGTCCCTGCCCAATGCCCTTCAGACTGTTAACCTCAGAGGAATGTCGACCCTGACTCTCCACCAGACCTAATGCTGAGCTGTGGGAATTGCTGTGTTCCACAGGAAGAGGTGATAGAGGAAGGTCTAGGGCTGGTCAGGCAACAGCTATTGGAAGGAATAAGCAACCCAATGACTTCCTAAGGTCATCCATAATCTATAAACCTGGGAAGGGCAGAAGCAGTGGGGCAGAAGGTAGGGACAGAGGCAGCATATGGCACTTCCAACCCTTGCTGCCATGGACTGAGCCTGGATGGAGTGCCATGTATAGGTGAGAGCTTCATGTATAGGACCTTAAGTTTCACAACAATGCTATGAATTGTACAATGATGGCCTCAGTTTACAGATGAGGGGACTGAGGCTCATGTACAGTTCAGTGACTCTCCTCTGGGCTTTGGCACACTGTTAAGTGAGGATGCTGATTCTTGAACCCAGGCCAGCAGGTACCCAAGCCTATTCTCTTCAGTGTTGTAGGCCACAGAGATGGAAACATTTGTGGTCACACAGAGTGTGTCACGAGAGTCTGTGCCCTAGTGCTGGGCCCTAGACAACATGATTGAGAGGTTGGGTTGTGTTCCGCACAGGCAACTGTGACCGCATTAAAGGAGAGTATGTGGCCTTCCAAGGTGGAGACTTGAATTCTCTTTGTACCTGATCGGTAAGTGATCCAGGCTTCAGGTGCCCCTTCTTGCAAAATGTGGATAATAACACCTTTCTGGGTACAATTGTAAAATGGTTTAATGAGATAATGTACATGAAAGATTCACCCCGTGTCTGGCATGTAATTTTCTCTTGATGCATGTAGCTTCGTTTCTCCCTGCAGAAGGGAAGTCCTGAGGGAATGGATCCCTAGGGGTAGAGCCAGGAAGAATGACTAGCATTTTGGCAGGAATCTACACTGTGCAAAGGGTGCTCACAGTACTGTCACATTGGGGTTCATGACCACCTCCTGAAATAGACCTGCTAGACCCCAAGGCTGCTGCTACTTCACAGATGAGAGGACGGAGACATGTGGGTAAAAGATCTGCCTGAGTCCACCCAGGACTTCATGAACTCAAGCGCCAGTTCCACAGCTTTCCCTGTGGCTCTGTTCAAGCCTCTCAATCTCCATGTCACAATTTCTCTTATATAAAATGGGGATAATAGAGTCATTACCTTCCTAAGGTGGGAATTACAATGATTTAATGTGAATAAATCTCATTGATTACCCTTATGAAAATGTTGAATCACTGCCCTCTGTAGGACCCCCGCTTACTAAAGTAAGTCACAGGCATCCCTGTGAGCAGTGGGGGCCAGCCCTGCTCCTCTGGCCTGCTGCCTTTGCCTCTTCTCTGCCCGCCTGACCCCCTGCTGCTCAACTGCCCATGTGTGCTGCTCCTGGCCCTTTATACAAAGCCATGAACTGTAGCAGAGGTGGGGGCAGTGGATGGAGTGTGGTGGTTACGCCTTTGTAGAGGCCACAGGGCCACTAACCATAAACGATCTGATCTTTTCTAACTAGCAGATGCACAGAGGGCCCAGGGCCATCACCTCAGTGACTTCAGTGTGTTATGTGACATTTCGTGTCCTGACTCAGGGAAGCCCGGGAGAGGCCAGGCCAGACTGTGACACGAGGCCATCAGGCAGCATGCTCTTGCTGGAGCAGTTATTCTGTATTTATAGTTTTCCAGGAGGGTGGCAGCAGAAGCTATAGGAGACTGAGTCAACAGCTGGAAAAAGGCCCAAATTTTTCTTAGTAAGCCAGTGGAGAAAAGTGGTTTAATTTACAAAATTGTTGGACTCATAACAGAGCGTGGCTATTTCCTGCCATTCACTGTCTGTTCTTCATAGTGTTGGTGTGGGAGTTGATGTCATAGCCTGTAGCGAGTTACTTTAGGCAAGTTTCTTCGTTCTCTATGTCCTCAGGCTTCAAGAATTCGGGTGTTTTCCTTGCACAGGGGCCATGCTAATCTTTTCTGCCTCATTCCAATTTGAGTGTAGGTACTGCTAAAGCGAGCACACATGCTTCCATGGATTTGGAACAAGAATAATGATGCTAGATGTTTTAAAAATCAGTAAGTTAATAAATGGAAAATACTCTGTAAACCGTAGGGTGTGGGTCAAATATAAGTCTTGTATGTGCATATCAACAGACACATATTTAACATGACCCTTCAGAGGAAAGCTGCTGCCTGAGTGAAGGGAAGCCCGAAGAGCGCAATGGGTGGCACTAATTCCTCCAGGTTGTACACAGACCTTGGGTTTTCCATTTTTGAAACTTCTGTCATGTTCACAGCCTTTGCCTTTAGGGGACTTTCTCGTCTCATCTCCATCAGCCCGCACAGAGAGCCAGTACGATCCTGATTTTCTGTACAAGCTGGCACAGTCACCGCCATATCCTTTGTAGCTGACAGGCAGGCATCACCACTGCAGTGTGTGTCCACATGTGTGCACATGTGTGCGTGTGCCATGCACACTGGTCTGTGTGTTTATGGCAATGCTACTGAGGTATGACTCACACAGCATAAAATGTACCCTTTTAAGGTGTAATTTCATTTTTCTTAGTTTATTCACAGCCTATTGTGCAACCATCACCAAAAGAACAATTCCATCACCCTTTGAAAGCCCCTCCATACCTATTAGCAGTCATACCCTGTCCTTCTCCCAGATCCCTGAAACCTCTCGTCTAATCTCTATCTCTACAGATTCGTGCATCACAGATATTTCATGTGTATGGAGTTGTATAGTATGTGGCCTTTGTGTCTGGCTTCTCCACGTAGGAGAATGTAACCAATGTTCACCCATGTTTCAGCATTTACAGGGTCTTGTTCCTTTGTATGGCTTAATAATATTCCACTTATGAATACACTGCATTTTGTTTATTTGCTTATCAATTGAGGAACATTTGTGTCATTTCTACATCTTGCTATTATGAATAATCCTGCTAAGGACCCTTGTATGCAGATTTTCGTGTGGACATGTGCTGTTGTTTCTCTTGGGCATCACATAGAAGGGGAGTTGCTGGGTCATTTGGGAGCTGTATGGTTATTTTTTTGAAAAACTGGTGACTTATTTTCCACAGTGGCTACACCAGTTTACATTGCCTTATACAGCATATGAGGGTTCCCATTTCTTCACATCCTCATCAGCTCTTGCTATTATCTGCCTTTTTTTTATAACTATCCTAGTTGGGTGGTAAGTTTGAACTGGATTTTTGTAATGACCAATAGTGTTACATACATTTTAATGGGCTTATTAGCCATTTTTATATCTTCTTTGTAGAAATATCTTCAAAATTTTTCACATTTTAAAATTTGAGTTATTTGTCTTTTTATGTAACAGTTCTCTATATATTCTGTGTACTTATATATGTCCCATATCACATGTAATTGAAAATATTTGCCATTTGTGGATTTTCTTTTAACTTTCTTAATGGGATCATTTGAAGTACAATTTAAAATTTTGGTTAACTTCGATTTATATTTTCTTTTTTTGCTTATGCTTTTGGTGTCGTGTTTAAGAAACCATTAGGCAATCCAAGGTCACTATGTTTTCTTTTGAGAGTTTTATAATTTCAGCTCTTACATTTAGGACTTTGGTCCACTTTGAACTAATTTTTATATATGATGTGAGGTAAGATTCAATTTCATTCCTTAGCATGTGGATATTCAGTTGCCCCAGCACATATTGATGAAAACAATATTCCGCCCCCCACCCCAATGAACTGTGTTGGTGTTCCTATGAAAATGCAGGTTTATTTCTCAATTCTATCCCACTGAGCTACACATCTATCCTTACGCCAGTACTGTATAGTCCTTATTACCATGGCTTTTGTAGTAAATTTCATGAACAAAAAATGTAAGCCCTCCAACTTTGTTGCTCCTTTTCAAAATTGTTTTGGCTACCTTGGGTCACTTGAATTTCCATATAAATTTAGGGGCAGTGTGTTAATTTTGCAAAAAAGGCAGCTGAGATTTTGATGGGATTACAATTAATCTGTAAAACAATTTGGAAAGTATTGTCATTTTACCAACTCATAAGAGTTTCTGTCTATAAAAATGGAATGTGTATCCATTTATTTAGGTCTTTCTAAAATGTTTTGAAGTTTATAGTTTACAAATCTTGCATTTATTTTGTTAAATTTATTCCTAAGTATTTTATTTTTGCTGATGTTATTATAAATGGAAGTTTTATCTCACTGTTGGATTATTTATTTTTAGTGTATAAAAATATGATGTTTTTGTGTATTGATCTGATATCCTGCAACTTTGTTGAACTTGTGTATTAGTTGTAATAGTTTTTCAGTAGATTAATTAGAACTTTTTTTGGTATACAATATTATGTTATATGTGATGTAGATAGTTGCACTTTTTCCCTTCTAATCTGGATGTCCTTTATTTCTTTTTCTTGCCTAAATACCCTGGCTGGAAACTCCAGGACAGTTGTGAGAATAAGTAATAGAGAGACATCCTTGTCCTGTTTCTAATCTTAGGGGGAAAACACGGTTTTTAACAATTAAGTATGATATTAACCATGGGTTTTTCATACATTACTTTATTGGGTTCAGAAAATTACCTTCTATTCATGTTTTGTTGTGTGTTGTCATCATTAAAAGTTGCTAAATTTTTCCAAATGTTCTTTCTGCATTTATTTTAATATATTGTTTTTAAACTTTATTTTAATATATTAAACCAACCTTGTATTCTTGGGATAAATCTCACTTAATCTTGATGTATACTTCTTTTTATATGTTACTGGATTTAGTTTGGTAGAACTTTGTTGAGGATATTTACATCTCTATAAGGAAACTAGTTTGTAGTCTTAATATCTTGAGATGTTCTTGTCTGGTTTTGGTATTGTAATGATAAAAACCTGATAGAATGAGTTGGAAAAAGTCTCTTCTCTTTTCTGGAAGTGTTCATGGAGGACTGATGCTAACTGTGCTAAGCATTTGGTAAAATTGACCCGTAAATCATTTGTTTTCAGAAAGCCTTTGATTATTAATTCATTCCCTCTACATGTTATATGTCTATTCAGATGATCAGATTATGTATTTCTTCTTGAGTCATTATTGGTAGTTAGAGCACTTCTAGGAATTCATCCATGTCATGTAGGTTATCTTATTGCTGATTTTCAATTACTTATATAAAATCCTACTTATGAGGGGCTTTCCCTGCTAGGTAAGCATTCTAGGAACACGTCTGTATCAGTGTACCAGCTGGCATTGTTGTGAGAAGCTTCAGTGAAATTTTCTGAAGACTCTTTTAACATGTTTGCCCATTGTATGATGGGTGATCTATGAGCACACCTGCCCACACTGTGCTAGGTGTTCAGCAGTGTTTGACCAAAACCAGCATGATCCCTGTGCACACCCTTCCTGTTCACCTGATGTCACCCAGAGCAACATTTTTTTGTTTGTTTCCCTGGATGAAAAAAAAAAGTCCTCAAAGGGAAACGTTTTTTTCATGTGGAAGAGGTGAAACAATGGCAAAAGCACTAAAAGGCATTACAATTGACAAGTTCAAAACCTGTTTTGAACAGTGGAAAAATGTCTTGATAGGTGTATTGCATAAAATGAAGAGTACTTTGAAGGTGACTGAAGTTTAAACATGTTAAAAATAAATACACAATTTTTTATAAATGAATTCTGGGGTTTTGGGTCTCTGTTCATAGAGTCCTTTTTGTTTTTGTAAATTTGATAATGATGTCATTTCTTTCATTCCTGATTTTAATAGTTTAAACTTATCTCCATTTTATTTGTCATTCTTGCTCAAAGTGGTCAATTCTGTTGATCTTTTCAAAGAACTAATGTTTTCTTTTGTTGTTTTTTAAAAAATTTTAATTTCATTTATTTCTACTTCAGTCTTCATTATTTCCTCCCTTTTCCTTGCTTTGCTCTTTTTCCCCATTCATTTGCTCTTTTTTTTTTTATGGTATAAGATTTGGTAATTGATTTGAGAGCTCTCTTCAAATATACACATTTGCAGCCATTATTCCTTCTCTAAGCCCTGCTTTTGCCATATTCCTTAAGTTTGGGGATGTTGTGGCTTCATTTTCATTCACCTCAAAGTATTTTCCAATTTCTATGTGATTTATTCTTTGGGTCACTGGTTATTTAAGATTGTATTGTTTAATTTCAACATATTTATAGATTTCCCAAATTTTCTTTGGATATTTATTTCTAATTTCATTCCATCGTGATCTGAGAACCTACTTTGCACAATGTCAACTCTAGTTCACATTTATTGGGACTTGCTTAATGACCTAACATAGTGTCTATCCTGGAGAATGCTCCTTGTGTGCTGAACAAAAATACACATTCTGCTGTTGTTGGGTGGAATAATTTATAGATGTCTGCTGTCCTTGTTGGTTTATAGTGTTACTCAAATCTTGTATTCATTGATTTTTTTTTGCCTAGTTGTTTTAAAAATTATTCAAAATGGAGTTATCAAAGCCCCAACCTTCATTGTTGAATTGTCTGTTTCTCTCTTCAGTTCTGTCCATTGTTGTTCCATGCATGTTTACACTCTTGGTTAGGTGCACACTGTGTTGTTTTATGTTGCACTTTAAAGCTCCCCTTCTTGGGCCTGATAAGTTTGTCTCTCATGCTATACTTTTTTTTCTTAACCTACTTTTTTTGGACTTAGTGTAGTCAGGTTGTACCTGAGCATCCATCCAAAGCTTTTGTGACTTGTTTTATTCTAGAATTTGCTTGTAATTGATTCAGTCTTTCCATTAAGTGGTACTTATAGATTATACTGGATAAGAGCTCATAAAATTTTGACAATTGAAAAACCTTTTAATATTATTTAGTCTATTCTCTTCTTTTTTCCTTTTTATTTTTGGATGAAGAAGGTGGGGCCAGAGAAGTGAAGTGAAGTGATCTATCCCACGTTACACAGAAAATTAATGGAAGGGGCAGAGTCAGAACTGAAAGTATTTGACTTTCTGTTTACAATTTTTTTTAACTAAGCCATCTACATCTGCATATTGTTATTCAGTGGTTTCTTTGTGCATGTC